TGTTGCTTTCGGCCTGGGGTTTGGTGTAGAGCCACCTCACCATAAAACCTACACTCGTGTTGAGGTTTGTAGGGGTTCGGGCTCTTTATTTAGAGAGCAAGCCTTCAAAGCACACCATACCATAGCTTGTTGAGGGACCCTTCAGGCTGCAAAGTTGAACTCGAGAAACTAGACCCGTCCCCAATCCCTGAAGCCTCAAATTCAGTTTCGAAGCTGATACCTATAAACCCTAAACCCTGATTGGGACTTACAGACTGTAAAGTCTCTATTCGACCCCTGTACAATCCTTCTCTGATTGCATTTCCTGTCCTGCACAAGCCTGAGATTACCCTCTCAAAGCCCCATTGAAGCCTGTAGAAGCTCTAAAGCTGTCACAGCGTGTTGAACAACGACGTATAGCGCAAGCCCTACTAATTAAGCCCCGTCAAAACCTCATAACCTTACAGAGCCAAACAACGAATTTGTTGAGGCCTTCGAAAGCGGCTTGAACCGCTAAGCCCTAAACCCCAAACCCCTTTTGCCGTAAACCCCTACACCCTTAACCCTGTTGCAACTAGCGCCTGGAGAGAGCTGGTCTAGCATAGGCTGCACGTACTCCTTTCCACCTGGGACGGCTGGTTTAGGGGTTATAGGGTTTAGGGTATGGGGATTATACTCCGTTCCATTTGGGACGGCCTACTTGTCAGTCTCTTTGGGAGACTAATGGTTAACCTTTGGGAGTATACTGGGATCACATCGGCGTTTATAGCACCCCAAAGAGGTTAAAGGTATGCTCTATACTACTAGGTCATCAATTGACATCAATTGACAAGGGCTTTCGACGCACGCACTCGCCCAAGGCATCCAAGAAAGAGATCAAGGGTTCTATTGCCGAGGACATATAGGGAGTTTCCGAAAATTGGGGGTACCTTATTTTGGGGTCCTTATAATAGGGATCCTACTATGTAGGGTACGATATCAGAGTCCCCTATTTTCGGAAACTCTCATCAGCTTTGAAGGTAGGTACTTGGAACTTTGGACGTAAGCTTGACATAAACTCACTCACTTTGCAACCCAGGTCGCAGCTTCTATGCGGTTTGTATTATTATTCAGTCCCGACAGTCGGAAAGCTCGAAAAGAGAGCATCAGGGCGGCTGGCTCGCATCGCGGCGAAACACAGCAAACCCAGGTAAGACTTGAAGAATCGCCATCACTGAGGCAGAAGCAGCGCCCGAAAGCGTGCAAGTACACCAGCCTCAGCGACCAGCGCAAGTAGGGACCAAAAGACGCTAGGCTCAATTTCAACAAGCTCTGCAAACTCTGCGAAGGCTGTAAACCCTTTTTTGCCACTGGTCTCAAGTGTCAAGTCTAGCCAGCCTACACCCTAAACCCTAAATTCAATGAGCCCTGGACCCCGAAGCCCTAAACCTGAACCCTAAAACCATCAAAGCGCCTAGGCCTAAACCCTTGAAGTCCGCAACCCTCATGCCAGTAAGCCCTAGAATCCTAGAAAAAGCACCAGTCCCAAATCCCAACCGAAACCATTCTGTGGATGGACGAAGTCCGGCATCACCTTCAGGATTCACCACCCTAAATCGTGCAAGCCATGGTATCTGCTCCGCATCGTCCACTCAGCCCTATAAGAGCTACGGAAAATGCCGGGTTCTGCGCATCCATAGATCAACCCGAGCCGAGGGGCGTGTGCGTGTGTTCGCTGCCTTCTGCAGGACCGGTCGCCGTGTCCTCCAAGTCCTTCAGGGCTTCCATGCCTAAAGCTGTTTAGTTCAGCTAGTAGGGTTTTTTATATAACTTAAGCTGCTCACTTATGTTAGTACGATGCCTAGAGAACAAGTTCGTAGGGTAAGTTTCAGGACTTAAGCTCGATGACAGCTCTGCCCCTGGGTTCTACTACCCGGTCCCTCCAACTGGGAAGTCCACTAAATAAGGGTTCGTGTCCAGGAACCCAGAAAAAGGCGGCGCCCTTACAAACAGAACCCTGGAAGGGACCCTAATTTATAGAACTACCCACATAGTACCCGTGTAGAAACCATATAGAATCTACTATAGAAGCCCTTATAGACCCCTTCAAGGAGCCCAAAAGGGACCCAAATTTAGAGAACTACCCAAGTAGGGTTTTGGAATTGGGAACCTTTGGGTTCTTTGCTTTTCCTTGCAGCCCTTCGCGACTACACAGGCCCGAAAGTCCAAACTCCCAAACCCTAAGGGTCCATGTACCTACATAGTATATACATTGGCCTTAAAGTACTCCCTATATGGGTACATTGGGCCCAAAGTATATACTATTTGGGTACATGGACCCTTAGGGAAACTGAACTTAACCCAGGTTCTTCCAAGGGAATGAGCATATATTGCCACAAAGGCGGCAATCAGCTAACAATAAACAAGTTTTCCTTACCATGGCCACTGAAGAAATGCCTTCAGAAACACCCAGCAGCTCGATACCAGAAGAAACGTCGGAGTCTTGCTCTGACGTCTGAACCTGCGCCCGCAACCCAAACTGAATCGCATGCACCCTGAACCCGATTGATCCTACTACCTGCAGCGCAGAAGAGGAAGAAAGAACAAATGCAGGACAAAGAACCCAAAAATATGTACAGGCGAACCTCAAGCCCGACGTCCCAAACCGTGACGCTTGCACGCAGTGGTTTTCACGGTCCCCCCCAAACTAGACCTAAGAGTAACCCAGGGAATAAAAAGGGGGGCCTTCTTGGTTTAAGGGTGTTATAAGGGAACCTAAACCCAAAACAAAGGGCATAAGGGCCTAGGCTGGGTCCGAGAAAATTTTCGGGTTGCCTTTTGGTTAGTAGGGAATGGAAGAATGGTAGTAATAGTAGTTTTAATTGTACCCCAGTCCCCCATTCCCTACCAACCAAAGGCACGTCAAACAAAATTCTGGTTTCAGGTTGGGTTTAAGGGGGGTTATAAGGGAACCTAAACCCAAAAAAAAAAAGGCATAAGGGCCTACTCTGGGTCATAGAAAAACATAGGGTTTCAGGTTGAGCCTCTGCCGTCCACACCGGAGCAGTTGGGTCCCAGCGCGGCGGCTCTTCCTTGCATCGGCGGAGATCTTTGGACATGTCGGGAGCTTTAGAAAATGCGGGAACTTGAGGTTTTCTAAGGGATCCAGAATAGAATTCTATGATATAGGGTCCGTATAGATGTTTGGAGATGTCGGGAGCTTTACCGCAAGGGTCCGAAGGACCCGATGATTAGGTGCTCGGGTTTGGGATAGTCGTTATGTAGGTTGTCAAAGGACTCAAGTGCCAATGTTATGGTAGCTACTTTGTACATATAGTTGGACCCCAACAGTATATCTATTCCAACAATAATGATTACCTGGGCCCGTTGGGATCAGCATATGCTGAAAACGGAAAGAAGCTAGGAAATGTTCAAGCTTGAATTTCTTTGGGTAGGGTTTAAGGTTGAGGGTCCCGGTTTGGGTTTCAAGGGCAGGACGCAGACAGGAATTCTCTGCGCAGCTTTGTGTAGGAACACCGGACTGTAGGCAAATGCTCCGGGCTTGAGGTTGCGTTGAATGCTTTCGATATGGTTCTACTGGCCAAAGAACCAACATTCCTGAAAATAATTCAACCTTAAAACAGAAAGTAATTAAATCTGAATGTGCCGACCTCACCATACCCTTTTCACGAACAGAGCAAGGAATGTGTAAGTTAGCAGTTCGCCCCCCCCAAAACAAACACAAAGCAGTGCCAATCCCTGTGTAAGTCTCTAGGCCCCCTGACAGAAAGTAACTCCGCGGCTTCAAGGGACTCAATGCCAACCCTACAGGACGAACCCGCACCCCCAAGCCCAAAGAATCATGAATACTTAGTCAATGTCGAAACCCGACATGCCTAGAACACGCTAGATGCACCAAAAGCCCGAAACTCAGCTTCGCCAACATAGATACGGTTGATGATATAAATCCTGCATGACCCAGAATAAGGAATAGACCATAATTCCCATAGTCTAAGGTCCTTAAGGTAATGCAGGATTTATATCCCTCAACCCTAAACCCTAAAAAGGAGCCTCTTAAAAGGTACCCTTATACCTATAGATCCCTTTAAAGGAACCCCAGGATTTATATCAACCGTCGAAGCTAAGCCTCTCGTTTCAACCATCCTGAGATATCCTAACCAAGCAAGCGCCATAACCCTAAATCACCACCTACCTGTAGCCGAAAAGGCCTACCTTTTTAAGGATCTATATATAGAAACCACAGTAAGGAACCCTAAAAAGGTAGGTCTTTTCGACTACAGGTACCTAGTGATCCTTGAACCTATTAAAAAGTAGGTTCTTACTATAAACCCTGGGTTTGGGTCTAGTGCCTTGAGAAAACCTGGTTCCCAATTTCAAAACCTGGTTTCTGTTCAGAATGAGTATAAAACCTGGTTTCTCTTCAGGATGAGTACAACAAGCCCCAAAACCCTAATTCCTGTAAATCCGAAACCGAATCTGGGGATCGAAAACCCATCAACACCTGAAGTTAAGCTGGCCTTGCTGAGCCGCCGAGAGGCTCGACCAGTGGGCATTCGCAGCTCACCCTGTATGAGAGGCCCTCTATGTAAATCTCTCCTGAGGAAAACCAGATATGTGGCGCATTCATCGTATGATATTACATAATGCCTGAAGGTTGGCTTCTGGTAGCCCGAACTGCTTTGAAGCTCGGAAATCATGGCCCTTTCTATATAGAGTCCCTATATAAACCCTGTTCAGATCCCACAAAGACCCTCCTATAGCTAAATCGAAAGAGCAACCCTTTCTTGAGCCCGTACAAAAACCCTAAAATTAATCGAAAGAGCACAGTTGCTGTGCCATGAACCCCGGTGCGATGGACTTTTCTTCCTGGCTGGGAAATGGTGGTCGGGCTCTCATTGGTCCTGCGAGCAGATCAAGCTTGTCGGGGTTCTTTCAATTTCTGTGTGCAGGGTGAAGCTCTGAAGGCTTTGGGCTCGAAACTATTTTAGTTTCTGCAGCTGTGATTGTGCTCGCTTGCTGGTATGGCGGGCGATAGTGCTCCTAGTGTCTCCTTGGAGGGGCTTGCTGCTGAGTGGGATGGAATTCCCACGATTAGAGATCGTCTTCGAGCAGGTCGAGCCATCATAGAGGAGGTTTCGAGCAAAAATGTTGATATTCAGACTCCGAGTGCCTTCAGCGATGTTCTGGTGCCCATCCTTGTGAGGATGAGAGAGTGTGCTAAGCAACTTCCTAGCATCGAAGCCGTCCGAGAGCAAGTGGCCTCCCTGCTGGAGATGAACAAGCGAGACCCCGACGAAACCGTAGTTCACAAAAACTCTTGGCTCCTGAAAAAGCAATGTGTCTTCGTGAAGATGAAAGTTCGCCGCATGGAAGTCTCCATTGAAGCTCGGTCTCAATTTGCATCATGAACATCATGCAGTGTGACTTGTGTTTCTTTTGAAATATCTAGAAGCCCGCAGCAGCCCAGGAACCCGAGTTTCAGAAGCTGTGTCTGACCTTGGACCCCAGCCTGCAGGACCGGACCAGTCGTGCTAATTATAATTTATCTATTCGGCAATATCCCTGGGATCAGGCTGTCGTTGACCAAGTCAACGAAAGCAGGGCCAAGCTGCTGGCCTTGAGAAGCTCGAGGCAGAGCGAGGACAGACAAGGGGCCTATAGACGATGGGTGTGTGTGTGTGTGTGTGATTTGCCAGTCTTTGTGAATTAACTGTTCTGTGCATTCATGTCTATATAGGACAGTTTTGACGAAGATGATTACGATGACGATGGCTCCGATCTGGCTGGGCTGCTGGAGCAAATGAGGGAGCTGAATGAAAATAACTCCGTGGACCCCAGGTCCAGTGGTTCTGGGGGGGAGGCCGGTGAGCTTTCCACCCAGCTCGATGTGGTTTCTGTTGATGATGATGCAGCAAACGACAATGACGAGGCGAATTATGAAAGCGCCGAGGATGCGATCCGGGCGATCGACTATGAGGAGCCTTGCACCTCTGGAGCTGCAAAGACTCCAGAACCCTCGATGACATCGCCTGTTGCCTCCCCATGTCGTTTGCGAACTCCACCAACAAAGGGCTTTGTGCCTGAAACCCCGAGCTCCAGTCATTTTCTCAGTCGTTCACTTGTGTTGACAGCATACTCGGAGTGTGTATATGTGCTTTAATTATGGTTCTCATGATGTTTTTGTTGTGGGAAAGATTGATACAAAGGCGAAGATCGAGCTAGCAAACTTGCACGCCTGGCCTTGATCAAAGCCAAGCTCCAGCAGCGACATAGCTGCATCCAGGGTCTGTGCGATCTTGCAAAGCAATATACATTTGTATATGTTTGTACTCACCACAGCAAGGATGCAGGAAGCGAGGGCGAAGGTCGCCACCGCCGAGGTTTCAGATGCATCGTCAGGACAGATCGAGGTTTCTTCCCATTCTTTAGACCTTTGGGTTCTCTGAATTTGGAAACCCAATTGTGTGTGTATAGGACTGCCGATGGTGACGAAAGCAGCGACCGACTCGCAAGAGACAATCCCCACGAACATCATGGAAGTTCCCTCGCCTCCTTCGGCTTCGAAGCCGGTGCTTAGCCCCGATCGTTCTGCTGAGGAGCAGAGGGAGCAATTTCAAAGGCGACAGGCGAAGACTGCCACGAAGATTATGGGCGATGATGATGATGATGAGTTTCCGTGCAGCCCCCGATCGCCCTACAATCCGTACCCGGCTTCGCCCTCTCATCCGAAAGCCCGAAGCTCGAAGGATGACTTCACTCCGGATGGCAAGGTGCGAGTGCAGAAACTGTAGTTTTAGATGAATTAATTAAGCATGAGATGATGTTCTGAGCCCCTTTATGGTTATATAGTGTTTTGTGCGGCAGGTCTCCGAGCACAAATGCGACAGGGCTGCTCAGCTGGGGCTTCGACAGCAAACGAAGCAGGGCCGTGGACGTGGAGGACGTGGCCGTGGCCGTGGTCGTGGCCACAAGAAAGCTGCTGAGTTCTCAGCAGCAGAATGGGCTGAGTGGGAAGAGTGGGATCGTCTTGAAACCGAGTGGAATGAAACGGGCCTGGAGGAGGTGGATAACGATGCCGAGGCAGCCGAGAACGAGCCGATCGTGGAGAAGTCGAACAAGAAGAAGAAGAAGAACGAAGCCGAGGCAGCCGAGGATGAGCAGACGATCGTGGAGAAGTCGAAGAAGAAGAACAAAGCCGAGGCAGCCGAGGAGGAGCAGCCGATCGTGGAGAAGCCCAAGAAGAAGAAGAACAGTGCCAAGGCAGCCGAGGAGGAGCAGCCGATCGTGGAGAAGCCGAAGAAGAACAAGAAGAAGAACAGTGCCGAGGCAGCCGAGAAGGAGTCGATCGTGGAGAAGTCTAAGAAGAAGAAGAACAGTGCCAAGGCAGCCGACGAGGCGCCGATCGTGGAGAAGTCAAAGAAGAAGAAGAAGGCCGAGGCAGCCGACGAGGTCCCAGAATCAGCAAACAAGAGACGACGTGGTGGCAACGGTGACACTGATGGCGAGAAGGCATCATTCGCTGGCAGGTACAGAGCTAATAAGCGGCCTTTTGAGGGTGCACGCTGGGATGCTATCAAGGAGGCTTTCGAGACCTATGTCAAGCCGAAGGCGACCTCACCCAGCTTGTACGAGGCTTGTTTGTGCTGGGGTTTGGTTTATTTCGATCGGTTTGTGTTTTGTGTGTGTGTGTCTCTATATACCTTAGGTAGTGCTGAGTATAAGGGTTTCTTGAGTCGTATTTTCTGTTTGCTCCCGCAGGGGCCGTTCTGGACTTGGTGCATGAAAGACATGAAGGACCAGGATGTGACGATCGAGAATGTGTCGGAGTATGTGGCCAAGTCTACCAAGAGATACCTGAAGCTGGCCTTAGCCTTGTAAGCGAGCACCTCCGAGCATCAGAGCTGAAGCCCGAGCGAATTTTCTTCGGTGTTTCATGAATGAACCTGGGGCCCACTTAGACATGGGCTGCCTTGCCATCCTATCTTTGGCATAAGTGTGTCTTGTCGTACTGGGAAAAGGTTGGCTCTTGATCCAACCTTGGGGTGACAAAGGCCACCCGCTGAGGATGATCGTGTGCTTAGGGCAGTCCTGGCTTACAGGATGGACCATCTGTGTGACCCAACCCAAAACCAATATCTTTAAGGACCCCCAGGCTATCCCAATGTATGCAATCGCCGATGATTGTGTGGTCCATCCAACTTCTTGAGCATAGCCACAAAGGTGGCTCAGTTCCTCTAGTTAACATCCGTGTAGGGAGTTCACCACACAGGGTCGCTTCGAGGCAGGAACCTTTCCCAGTCTGGGATATATCAGGGTCTCTTAGGGACCAGTGCCTCTCTGGTTTATGTAAAGGCCTAACACACACATAGGAAGGGATTGCCCGAAGCTTCATCTTAGTGTGGTTCCCCGCATCGCCGCACAGTTGCATTCTGCGACAGCCAGAAGTGATCTCGGTGTCTTCGTGAGTGCTTGAAGGACTGGGACTTATGTTGATGTTGTCACTACAGCAATCTGACTAAGGCATCTGTTCTCAGTGACGATGACGATGATCGTGGCGATGATTTGTTATGATGCTAGTCTCGTGGCTACAATACATAAGTGGTTCTTGATGGGTCGTGATGATGTCTGTTGTCTGCAAAACAGTTGTGCCGGCACCCAATCCTAAACCCCTATATAACCCCTAAGCCCCTTGTGCTTTGTTGAACAATCGTCCTCGGCCCAGGCCAAACGACGGCCATTGAAGGGCAACCTCTGGCGGATCAAGCAGGATCAGCTCGAGAAGAGACGTGTTGCCGGCTAAATGCACCGCCGGTTGATTCAGTGCTCCATCTTTCTGCTTGGCATGTTTTCAGCGAGCGACTGCAAGCTTTGTGAAGTGCCCTGCATGCAGTGGAAGATCAAGGCTGAGCCCGATACATGTGGATCAAGGACAAAGCCGGATATCCCACACATGTAGGGTCCTGGGTGGACGAGCAGTAGATAATTCCATGGCAGCGAAGATTCAAGTGCAGTGGCTTTTGGCCTGAGTTTCCGAAGGCAGGTTCCCTTCGCACGGGGTTTCTTTTGAATCCTGTTGTGTGGTGATAACCTTGTGGTCTTCAGCCTCGGGGGCAACATTATCCTCAGAAGCCCCCAAACCGATAGAAAGGTCCCAGGTCCAAAGCCTTACACGAGCGCCACCGGAACCCTTTTTCAAGCTCAACTCTCGAAGAGTGCCCGAACCCCCGAAGCCCAAAGCTCAAGCCCTTCGACCCCGAGATAGAATCCCCAACCCCCTCAAAAGCTGTATAGTACGAAACCTCCTTTCATTAAAACCGGCCAAGCCCCTTCCGTGCCCGAACCCTCGAAGCCCAAAGCTTAAGGTATTCGAGCCCGAGATAGATTCCCTAACCCTCCAAAACCTCTAATACGAAACCTCCTGTTTAAACCCGAACAATGCCCTTGGAGGCTCCAGGGCACGCCAGAGACGAGCCGGCACACTCGCAGGCAATCGTTGGAGCCTTTGTTTTCAGGGTGTTATGTAGAGGGCTCTATGTAGGGTCTTATATATATATATATATATATGGGTTAGAAGCTGCCACCATCCTGTAATAGTGGTATAATATATATATATATATATATATATATATATATATATAAGAATATAACAAAAGGCCCTAATATATATATATATATATATACCTATATAATCCTTATAGTCACTATTACAGGGTGGGGGCAGCTTCTAGTATATGGGTTATATATACCTAGTGAGGACTGTGGTTTCGAAATACGGGTGTCTACATTTACATATAGCTCTGATCTCACCAGAGATAGGAAGTGGCCTTTGCAGAGCATGCCAAGGGCTTGCAAGGTGGCTTTTTGTAAGGGCTTGTTGTTGGGTGGGCTACGTATACATATAGGGCTTTGTACCATTTTCTGGTTGTTTGGAAAAATGCATCCTCTTCTCGGACCAAACAGGATAGACGACAAGTTCAGTATACTACATGGGCTACTACTTGTGCTGCTGCTGCTGCTGCTGCTGCTGCTGCTGCTACTGCTCTGCTATTATACTCTCTCTGTCTCTCTCCGTCCCTATCTGCGGTCCTTACATGTGTACATTAGTAATATATCATATACATATACACACCTGTAATATGTATCGTCGGTCTATATATCTACCTATGTACATACTGTTGTATTGTACGTTGATACCTGATTGTGTGGCACCTGCTCACGACCCATTATGTGCTGTTGTGCAGTTTTGGCTTTTCTAGGTTCTATATAGAGTAGCTATATTTAGGACAGGATCGTCCTGGATGGTTTCAATGGCTGCAGCCTCTGTGCCTTCTGATTCTGATCAATCACCGACGATGTGGCATTGCATTACTGTTGGTTGTTCGCTCATACACCCAGGAGCAGGCCACAGGCACTGCTGCAGTTTGTGCCCCGTCATGCAGGGTTCGAGGCACACAAGGCGATGTCGGATGCTTCAACATGCTCTTGGTCGTGGTTCTGCTGGTGCTTATGGTGGCACGATTGTGTGCTCGACCGATGGATGCAATCGACTAGCCGGGCCGGGTTTTGATACATGCTGCTCCAAGTGTCGCCGTTATGGGCGGCACAGCCGTCGATGCGATAGCCTACAGCAGCGAACCCCTGCGACACAAGTTGTAGCTGCTGGAGATGAAGAGGTGGCATCAGCTGCTGCAGGGAACGACGAGATAGGCATGGTGCAAGGCACGGGCAGTTCTTCCAGCTCGGCGGTTGATCTGACTGCTTGGAATACACACCAGCCTGTGGAGTCACTTATGAATGAGCCCTTTGATTCGGTCGAAGGGGTTACTTCCTGTGATTTCGTGGTTGATCTTGACACGATGGATTAGCCACCTTTTCCCGATTTCACGAGAATGCCGCCAATGGAGCAGTGCTTTCCCGCTTGCAAAACATCGCCTTGATGTGCTCAGAGTTCTCACTCACTCACTCACTCACTTACTCTCTCTCTCTCTCGCTCTCTCTTTCTTTCTATATGCAAATATATATATATATATATATATGTACATACCAGCACCATCACCACCTTCACCAGTACTGCTTCTGCTGCTGCTGCTGCACCACCACCACCACCACCACCACCACCACCACCACCACCACCACCACCACCACCACCAGCACCACCGCCACGACCACCACCACCACCACCACCACCACCACCACCACCACCACCACCACCAGGACGGCTGCTGCTGTTGCTGTTGCTGCTGCTACTGCTGCTGTGGTAGTATACACTTATATACATGTATATACATATATTATAATATATATGAACTAGACGACTGCTACTGTATATAATGCAATATGTAGACTGCATATATATATATATATATATATATGTGTGTGTGTGTGTGTACAAATGTAGACACGTCCCCTCTCTCCCTCCTCACATACAGAAGGAAAGAACCCTGTGACCCAGGCAGCTGCCAAGTGCTTCAACCGGCTTCGAAGCCTTCTCTCCCTGCTTCTATATATTATATAAACAAAAAAAGGAACCCAGAGCCCTGTAAACACTCCGAAGCCCACCGCAGAAAACCTAAACCCAGAAAACCGCCAACTGCTTCAACTGCCTTCGAAGCCGAACAGGAGCCCCCGCTATATATGTATACAGCATAAGACCCTAAATCAGGCTTTGCAAAAACCCCCGATTGACAGAACCCTGTATAAGTCCCTTGAACCCGATATAAAATTAAACCCTTAACTCTTCTAGAGGCAGCTCTCTTCGCCACGGCCCATCCGCCAGCTGATGTGTGATCCGAAGTCGGCCCCTGGGGGGTTCAAGGTAAAAGTTTCATATGGGGTTTTATACAGGGGCTATAGGGTGCATTTAGGGTCCGCTTGTAATTGCAGACTACTTCAAAAGGGACCGGCCACGCGATTCCGTGTGATCCGAGTTAGTGAGCTGGATCCTCACTACACCGGGTTCGGGGCTCTCGCTTTTGGTGTAACCGAGATCATTCTGAGGCCTTTCCTAGGAGGTTCTTTCTCTTTCTTTACAGGCCTGATAAGGTTTTGGGGCTGTTTTTCATGGTTTTGCTGTATGTAACTGAAGCCTACCCGTGAAGACCCGTGAAGGCACCCGTGAAAACCCATATTTCACCCGTGAAAACCTATGTTTCACCCGTGAAGCAGCCCGTGAAAACCCATGAAGCTAGGAGCTCAACCAAAAACCCGGTTTAGGCTAAGGCGTGAAGCAACGCGTGAAAACCCATATTTAAAGCGTGAAAACCCATATTTAAAATATGGGTTTTCATGGGTTTTCGCGGCTTGCAGATAGTGCAGTTCCAGGACACTTTCTATGGGGATTGCAGCAATCTTGCTGGGCCTTAAACGGCCTTTTGCCGGGACTGCTCCGCCTGGGAAAACACTTCGGGCCTCCGGAAGGCCAGCTGTCCTAGCTTTACAGAATCGTCGTGGGTCCTGTGCCATGTACATCGATCATCTGGTTACCACGATCTACAAAGTACTGTGTGTGCTGGCTCATACACAAGCTCGTTTTGTTTTTGGGGGCTGAACCTTTGTTGCCCTGTCTAAAGATGAGTGGTTCCGTGGCCACCGGCAGCCCAGCCAGCCTTGATCATGGCTCATCTCGCCTTGGCTCTTCCTCGAGCCTGGCAACGATCAGTGCCGAAGAAGAGAAGCTCTTGTTAGAGATGCAGGATGTCGGCCTCTGTGGTCTCGTCCTCTCACTCTCTTTCTCGCCCTCTCTCTCTCTCTCTCTCTCTCTCTCTCTCTCTCTCTCTCTCTCTCTCTCTCTCTCTCTCTCCCTCCCTCTCTCTCTCTCTCTCTCCCTGCCTCTCTCTCCCTGCCTCTCTCTCTCTTTCTTGGTGGGGTGCTGTTCTCTGTGTTGATGTGTCTCTGTCTGTTCCTGGTCGATGCCACGAAAGGAGCTTGAAAGATCCCTGGCATGCGAGGAAGTGACTTCGGTAGCAGTTCTGGCTCTTGTCACATATAGATGATTGTACATCCGGGCAGTTATGTAAGGAGATGTGCATGCTTGCATGCACAGGGGTGTGTATGTTCATGTATTATACACACACACACACATACTTGTACTCCGTGTGTGTATGAAACAGAGACAGATCGAGAGCTCATGTAAAAAGCACATTCCCACAAGGAACCCGTTCTAGAGCGAGCGAGACCAGAGCAAATGCAATGTTACCCCTAAACCCTAAACCCCTAAACCCCTAAACCCTAAACCCATAACAACCAATTCTCTTTTCGAGATCCTGTATATGCCCCAAAAACACCTTTAAATCGAAACCCACTGTTCCTCTGCCTCCAGCAGCAAAGGCAAAAGCGCCGACTCTGGATTCAGACATCGCCTCGGCAGCCACTTTGCCGGCTGCTGGTCTTGGGCAGTTGGGGTGATCGGGGTTTCCTTTGGTTTCCGGGTGTCCCGGATTGTCTTGCTCTCTCTCAGGCTACTTACGAGGAGCTCGAGGATATGGGCCTTTCTGGTGCGACTCCTGAAGAACCCGAAGTCATTGATGCAGATGCAACATAGCAGCCCCAGTTCCACTTCTTATGTGTTGAGTTTCGGGCCCGATGTTCTCTAGCAGCATGACGAAAACAAAGGATTTCGATGACGATGAGATGAAGGAGACCTTGCAATCAATGTGGCGAGTTAAGCAAGAGGCACAGGAGGACCATCAGGAGCCCCCAGCAGAGGAGGAGGGACCGGCTTCAAAGGCCGAGCAGCCCCCCCCCGCACGCCCGATCGCCACCCCGGCAAGAGCCCCGCTGCCTGGCATGGTGAAAGCCGAGCCCAAGTACAAAAGGAAGAGGGAGTTCACACGGCAGGACCTTGCTAGGGGTCCCTGCTAAGATATATGTATATCGAACCCCACATAGACTTAATCCCTCAACCCTTGCCTCAATCCCACAACTTCTGAAGGAGCGACTGGTCCTAGCTGCTCGTGCGAGAATCGGCCGCATGATGCAGCCCAAGAAGAAAAGGACGGATCTCGTGCCGCCCGAGTATGTCATGAAGCATTTCAACCAAGGGCACAAGAAGCAGCTAGCAAACATGCTAGTGGATTGCAACTTCGACAAGGTCTCTTGATTGCAGGATATGTAACCTATCAGCATTCCTGTTTCCCCCTCTGAGCTTCAAGCCTTTTCACTTCCGATGCCCCAGGCACACTTCTTCAACCTGGTTGAGAAGGTGGTTCTCAAGCGGGACGAGCAGGTGTTGGAGCGGCAGGAGGGCTGGTATAGCGAAGCGGAAATGAAAAACGACCTCAAGTGGGCCCCGCAGCATCCTTACATTACAATGATGTATTCAAAGTCTTTAGGGTCATTCCGGCTCGTCGGTTCAGATTGAGGTCCCGGATTGCTGGTGCAGTGGCCTATTGCCGGGCCAGAGCAGCAACACATGTCCGGCTTCTTTTCTGCAAATACAATGATATACTGCTTCAACTGAAACCGAAGCCTTCTTGCTATCTAAGAAAGAACATGTACGACAACGTCGAGGAATTCTGGGTACTGCTACGTGAGAAAGGAAACAAGAAGGCGACCCTGGTCAAAGAGGAGAGGCACCACCAGCAAGAGGCTGCATCTCATCCCAACTTCATTTGTCTTTACCCATGGACCCCTGCAGACCCTAAGTCCCCGCAAACCCTGAACCTTAAACCCTGAACCCTCCAACCCCACACCATGAATCCTTCGTTACACGAACCAAGCTCAGCCGAGGCCGCAGCTGCTGTGGATCTGGGGGGCAACTTCGCCGCAGACCTCGCCGGCATGCAGGCAAGGGTCGATGCCGACCAGCAGCAGGCCCCCGGGAGGAGTGAGGACAAGAAGTACGACGAGGCCCGTTACAGGTGCCATTATAGAAGCATTCTCTGTCATGACAACACCAATCGCAATTCCCTGGATCCTGCACCTCCCCTGCAGAGCAAGCAGACCCTGAACAAGTTCTGTGATTCGCTTCTGATCAAGAAGAACAAAATCAACGGTCTTATCCGAGACCTCGATCAGAACTACGGCTGTGAGAAGGCTGTCAAGCGGCTTTGCCTACAATTCTATCAAAGGAACAATCGTTCTATCCAAAATTTCGTAGTGTGCCTTCAGCCCAGGAGTCGCGAAAATCTGGAGCAGCACCTGGCAGAGATCGACAGCCAGCACGAGACTTTGAACGAGTTGCGAACCAACGGCGATGTTTATGGCTGGAACGAGCAGTTCCGAAGTCGCATAATACAGTGAGTCTTGTTTAGCAACCTCCACTTCTCGTGTTTTGTGCATACTTTAAGGCTCATGAAGGATGCCGAGTGCAAGATGAAGGCGGCGACTTTGAAGTGCTATGGCCTGCAATAGATCGTTCAGTCTGGCCTATATATATATAGAGTTGTGTCTCGACAATGCGAACCTATCCGAGGATTTCCAAGGCCATGGCTTTGGAGAACCGGACGAGGTCTGGCCACCCGAATAAGGACATGTTCTCAGAGCGCCAGAGTGAGAGAGTGAGACAGTGAGAGAGCGAGAGAGTGAAAGAGTAAGAGAGAGAGAGAGAGAGAGAGAGAGAGAGAGAGAGAGAGAGAGAGAGAGAGAGAGAGAGAGAGAGAGAGAGTGAGTGAGTGAGTGAGTGAGTGAGTGAGTGAGTGACAGAGTGAGAGGGTGAGGGTAAGGGAGTCTGAGTGCTGTTCTATATAGAGGCTAAGACTTTAGGCTAGGCTTCCCTAATTATGCTCAATAACACAAACCTCGCACTCTCTACATATATGTAACCCCATACCAACCCCTAAGCCTACATAAAACCATAAGCCCGAACCCTTCCCAGCCCACTCTTGCAGGCAAGACAAGAAGTTCTTCAAGAAGGCCGCTGATAAGCCTGAACCCAAGGCTGCACCCAAAGGTGGTACCAAAAACAAGGCCCAGCCGAATGACAATGGCAAGCCCGCCAAAAAAAATCGCACCAAGTGATTTCAACTTGGGCAGCAAGCCGGGGCGGTAAAAGCGCCTGAAGTCGCATTGGCCATGACCGCATCGTCCTCAGCAAACCAGCCGTCGTGTACTATGCTTCCGAGTGTGGTGTTGGCCTGTAGGTGCGATGTTCGAACCAAATTAAGTGGGGAATGGGATCTGCACAGCAATGCTTTGACAAAGTCATGGCAACTCTGCTTCTTTGCATCGATACATGCAGGAAGCACTTCAAAGGCCGTGTCGATGCAAAAACGTGTCTCTCTGCACAATCCTAGTGGGATCTGAATCAGTGTCGGTGATACTTGAGCTGCGACATGCCAGGTCCCACGCCAGGCAAAGCGATTCGTGGAATCGCCGCTGATGTTGGTGCTGGAGCCTGGACCTGAGGCAAATCAAGTTGATGCTGCTTTCTAAACAGGTAGCACTTCTGCAGACAGGACTCTGAGTACGTGTTGTGTACAAATGCACTCCGTGCCGTGCCGAAGAGGATCGAATGGTTCGTTATGTTGTTTGAAGATACATATACACTGAGCCTTCAATTAACCTCTATATAACTCATATATATAACCCACAAACCTTTATAGGATCCCAAATATCTTGCGACCCAATGAGGTTTTGAAGTAATCCCCCAAACCCTATATAAGATGATCTTTGCTTCGCTGCCATGCCTGCGATTGGGGATGATATCGATGATGAACTCTGGGAGCTTCTCACATGCCACAGAGATGCTCCTTGTCTATACACACCTATATAGCCCTCTACCCACAAAACCAAAACCCTGAAGTTCCTGAAGTTCCGTTTCAATTCTTGAATGTATAAAGTTTCCCTCAACTAAGGAGTCTGCTGGGCCGTATCCGTGGAGAGAACAACGTGATTCTACGACGATTGTAGCCTCGATAAGCTCGAAGAAAACCCACAAACTACGACGACAATATCGCGACCCGACATATCGAAGCCCCTTGGTCGTTTTATGGATGAGGCCGAGGCTCTTGGCTGCATTCTTTTTCCCCATGGCAAAGCTTTCCTGGAGGCAGATCGAGAAGTATCAAAGCAACTTGTCCCGAATGAAACCCGAAATCCCAATAACTTAATTGATCGTAACCCCGCTGCCAAACTTCTATACGACCCAACCACAAAACCCGCCTAATTGCCTAATGTATATCCCAGGCAGACCTGGATGCAGGAACATTCGTTCCGGTGGCTATACGGTGAAGGATGATGTAGAAAGCTCGACTTCGGATGTTCAGCCTATCTATACATGACATATGTAGTCTACAGATCCTTTCGTGTTCCTGGTGGCCTCAAAAAAGCGCCGCCCTGAAGTCCGAAGGCCTCTTACAGCAGTCTAGCAGCTGAGACAAGTCCATGTGTGGATGCACATGTGGCCTCAAGGAAGTTGCTGGATCACAAAAAGGGATGCTCTTGCTCTGGCCAGTGCAACAGTCTGAGCTGCTGCTAGCACAATTCCGATTAGCATGCCCCTGCTGTGTATATACCGGGGGAAATCACAAACCCTTCCGAGTGAAGTACTTATACAGTCGCTACAAACCCCAGACCCGAAAGCTTTCTTGATTGGCACCTAAACCCCTACATAAAGCCTAGACCCGAGAGTTTTTTTGATTGGCAAACCCGGCTCGCCCAGGCCAGCACCTGTGCAGCCGCCGTGCGGGTGGCTCGGGATGTCGTTTCGGACATCGGTCTGGAGGCTGCGAGCTCAAGCGGCGGTCTTTCTGCTCTAGCTTCCTGTAGCGATGGGCACTTGGAGAGAGATTCGCATAACTTGTTTGCGAAGAAGCTGAAGCTCAGTCTGCCAGTGCCGATTTCGATCCTTGCGGGGACGGTTTTTCCAACTCTCCGTTTGAGGGATTGGATGGATTTCGTCATCCGTCGCAACTGCTGGCATGTGCTTTGTGGCTTGGTTCGGCCAGATGCAGATCGGGAGCAAGCAACCTTGAGAGAATTTTGGCACAGATTTCGGCAGTGCCATCCCGAGCATGAAGTGTTTCGGCTGGCTGATTCCAAGCAAATCAGTTTGGGTCGAACGGCACCGCTGCTATACCACGGGGATGAAGGCCGTGGGAGGCGGAGGACTCCTTTCCTCGTGACTTCATTCCATGGACTGCTTGGACGAGGGATCCGAACTGGGCTTCAGGCTCAAGCCAAGGCTGGTGCTCGCAAGGAATACACCAAGCTGAAGCCGAACTTTATCGGACATTCCTATACCAATCGGTACCTGCAGTGTGCGATGCCGAAAAAGGCATACCAGGACGAGCACGTCTTCCAAGCGATCCTGGAGAGTGCCGCTGCTGAGGCCGAGTACATGTGGAAGTCTGGTGTTCAGCACAGGTACACTGGTGCAATGTACTGGGCGGTGGTCCTGAATGTCACTGGCGATTGGCCCTGGCTAGTCAAGTCTGGAAATCTGGGTCGGAGTTTCAATCATGCAATCAAAAACTTGAAGCCGCTCAAGAACCCGCCGGCTGGGATATGCCACTTATGCAAGGCGGGGCAATGGGGCCATGAGTTCGAGTCCTTCGAGACCCGCAATCCGTCGTGGCTCAGGACACTTCACGTCGAGAGCCCTTTTTTGGACCCGCCGTCTCCTTTGACTTCGTTTCTTTCTACACCAGGACAGGATGCAGATATTTTCGCATACGACCTCTGGCACTCCTGGCATTTGGGAGTGGGAAAGGTGTTCCTGGGTTCGGCTTTGGCATTGCTGTCGAGCCGCTTTCATGGAAGGAGTGTGCATGCTCGTTTTGCTGGGCTGAACTCCGCCTACTTCAGTTGGTGTCGTGAGTTCTCGCATCCTCCCATCCTGAGTCGCCTGCAAGCTTCGACTATCGAGTGGGAGAATGCCTCAAACTACCCCAAAGGCAGCTGGTTCAAGGGCGAGCTGACCACCACTTTGGGCCGGTTCGTGCGGTACGTGACGAGTGGCGGCAACAACGAAAGTCCTATGATGGATTTGGTGGGCGAAGCATGTGCGGCCATAGACAGTTGTATACGTGGGTTATACGAAGGCGATGCATTCTTGCCGAGCGAAACTGCAAGGCAGCTTGGCGAACAAGGCCTTCGCTTCCTGCGGAGATACTCCGAACTGGCCGACATGGCTCTGCAGTTTCGGCAGGCCCTGTTCTTGATCATCCCTAAAGTACATGTGTTGCAGCACGTGTTTTTGGTGGACCTGGTGCTGGCGGCAGATCGCGGGCCCTGGGTGGTAAATCCGATATGCTATTCGGTTCAACAATCTGAGGATTTCATTGGCCGCAACAGCAGAACTTCTCGCAAGGTACATCCTACACAGGCCTCTAGGCGAACCCTGGAAAGGCATCTTGTGCTGGCCTACAGGAAATATTGCGATGCAGGGCTTCTCGTGGAGGGCAGAGATTGACACGCACAAATCCTTTAAGTATTCTATATAGGAGGGTGTAAAGATGAGAACCCCATATAAACCCCATATCAGAGTTATATATAGGGTTTCCAAATCTCTTGCTGCCCGAGAGTCCAGCATGTGCAATCGAAGCCGTCCGAAGCAGTCGATGCCAGTGAGGCGACGAAAGTGGGGTCGAGCTCTGGGTTTTTTCGGGGTTTCGGGGCTTGGGGGCTTCAGTTCCGGAGGGAAGAGTTTTTAGGGTTCAGTGGGTTTCGGAAGGCTCTGGGGTGAAGGCCCAGCCTCAAAATCGTAAAGCCTCAGCCCGGGACCCTAAACCGCCCGAAGCCCTACCCTAAACTCTATATAGTTCTTTATAACCTTAAGGAGGCTTCCGAAGGCTCTGGGGTGAGAAATTTTAGAGGCTCAGACTTCCGAGGCCCTGTCCTAAAACCGCAAAGCCCGGGCCCTTAACCTGGAACCCCAACCAAACCCTACCCTAAACTCTAAACCCGGAGCCCTTAACTTGGAAGCCTAAACCGCCTAAACCCCAGCTCTTGTTTCGGAGCCTCAACCAGTCCCCAGGTTTTAAAGCTTCAGGTTCAGGGTGTACAGGGCTGCAAACAACGGAAACTTGAGTCGATATGGCTTCAGCTCAGAGGTTGTAAACTTGAAAACCCGGTTCCCAAACATCAAATCCGGGAAACCCGGTTCCCAAATTTAAAACCTAGTTATTTTGGAGAACTTACTTTTTTATGCGTTCTAGGTTCTCTAGGTAGAGGCTCCATAGTAGTTTCTTTTTTGGGGGTGCATATTTAGAATCCTATAAGGTAATCCCAAAAAGGAACTACTATGGAGCCTATGGGTAGAGGCTTCTTGGGTTGGTTTACCTTAACCCCAAAGAACCTACGTTTTTAGGGCCTTGTCTAAGGAATTTATAGTAAGGAGCCCTAAAAAGGTAGGTTTCTTCGGGTCCAGGTAGGGTTCAGGGTCTCAGGCTTTGGGGGGCCTCAGCTTTGCGCGAGACCTCGCTCCGTCTCGCACGTAAGCGGCGGCCGAAGGACACGATGCCTGGCTCAGGGATTCTTGCCTTCTTTCGGTTGCAGGGTTCAAGGCTCTAAGGCTTGATCCTAAACCCTACCCTAAACCCTAAATCCTAAACCCTTTACACCAAATCCTAAACCCTAAACCGCAAACCCTAAACCCTACCCTAAACCCTAAGTCCTAAACCCTTTACACCAAATCTTTTCTACACCTGGACCATGCATATGCCAGGAACCGAGGCGCCAAATCCTAAACCCTAAACCGTAAACCCTACCCTAAACCCTAAACTCTAAACCCTAGCCCACAGTACGGGTTTTCGGGGGTTTGGGGGTTCAGGGCTAGGGTTCCTAGGGCTCATCGCCCGGCGTAGACGATAGAAAAGACTGCGCCTTTGCGAAGCTGTGTGCATAAATGGAGAACCCCGAAGCCTAAACCGATCCCACATACCTAGCATTACATAAGGAGTCACGGTCTCTGAGCCCGATAGGCAAAGTAAACACAGCCCTACATGGTGCGAGTGCATTGACCCATTCAGCCGTACACACAACACCCACTCATACTTAAAGGCTAGGGCCTAAATGCCCGAGCCGAAGAAACTGAGCTTTTGGTTTTTGCGCAAACAGGGTTGCAACACCTAAGCACCTAAGACCAGCGGAGCTAGGAGTGGGCAAACGGTCAATACAGCAAGACCGGAACAGTTGAAAAAGGGTTTTGGTTTCTAGCACAGCGCACATTTAAAAAGAACCCCGGACAATACTGTAAATCATTCAGGCTTCTGCTTTATAGGGTAGGATTGAGCTGCAGTCGTTGCCAGTTGCCATTGGTGGTTATCGCAGAAGGCATCTTTCCGCTTCATTGTGGTTGCTCGTTTTGCTATCTCTCGGAGGAGTTTTTGCTCTGACCCCATCCTTTTAATCTAAGACCCAAAGGGTTATCGAAAATAGCTTTAGAAGCTAGCCCTGAAAACAGAAAGAATAAAAACTCTAAACCCGTCAACCCTAAACAGACCCCAAGCTCCCATTTACTTCGGGATCGAGAGAAAACCAAGGACGACATGTCACGACATCAAAAGAACTCAACTTCTAAGTTGGGATTTGGATCATCCAGCAACCATTTCAGAACTACATAAGCTATGGACACAACCGGTATGGTATAGAACCCCCATAAGGGTCCAAAGGACCCAATAATTAGGTACTCGCCTCTGGGATAGTAGATGCGTAGGTTACTTTTTTGGAGAGTGTATGATGGTTAAATACTTGGACCCTAAGGGAAAGCTCCGGCCTAGCGTTCCTGCCGCAAGGTGGCCGGATGCCTTGAAGAGAAACTGGAGGCTCAGGGCTTCTCTGGCTTGAGGGCTTTCAGGGTTTCGGGGTTTGGGGTTAAGGGCTTTCAGGTTCAAGCTTGTGTTTGCCAAGAAGGTTTAGGGTTAGCCTCTCTGGGGTTCTGGGTCACCTGGCTCAACGTTGCTAGACCGCTCCGGAAAGCAAAGTCTAATTCTCCCAGACTTTAGTTCAACAGTAAAATCTCAGTGTTTACTCTTACCGGACGTTGGGTCCTTACTGTGAAGGTTGACAAGAACGGTTACTTTTCCAAGTTCAAAGCCCGATGGGTTTGTCGTGGGTTTCAGGACAAGTTTGCCTGGGATCAACAAACGGACAGCCCTACGGCTACTCGGTATGGTTTCCGTTTGGTTGCGCAGTGCGCTGCTAATCACTATTGGGATCTTTTTCATTTGGATCTTAAGACCGCTTTCCTTCAGGGGGAACACTACAATCTGTCATCTCGCATGGTTGTGGTTCAGTTGCCTCCTGACATCGGTTTGCCTACCTGGATGGTTGGCCTTTGTCTCAGACCAGTCTATGGTCTGAACGATGCACCGAGAAGATGGTGGAACTGGCCAACACTTGGAGGGTCGAGACTTAGTAGGTAGTTATTATATAGACTTGTAAGTACCTTAATAAGGACACTAATTGGGGTTATGATACTTATAACTCTATAAAATAAGTTACCCGGCAAGCAAACAATGCGACCTCTTTCCGATGGACACGCAGATCCAGGGAAGCAAACGCTGCAACCTCTTTGGGAGATCTAGCAGATCCAGGGAAGCAAACGCTGCAACCTCTTTGCGATGGTCCAGCAGTCAGCGTGCGGAGGCTTCAATAAGAGACTGTGACCTTTCATGGTTGAAGAGATCCGTATAATTTTGAGGCATAACTAGCTTTTGCGGCAGCCTCAGGCTACCAGTATATTGACCCCCTGTTTGTCCCATCGATTCATTCCAGTTGCTGTGGAAGGGGCGTCTGCAAGATGCCTTGGATCCCGAAGGAGATATTGGACAGCTCACCCTTCAGGACTTCCAGCCTAAAGCACTTCACCAGGCCTGCAGGTGCGTCGGACTCAAAGAAGATAAGACCCGGGGGTGGTATTTCCGAGTGATAGTTGCAGAAGAGGTGCCAGGTCGCACCGTCTCCGGAGACCCAGATTCGGAAGGATGTCCGGGGCGTTATTCGGCTTTCGCGTCCGAAGCAGAAGCCCTGAAGATGAACCCAGGAATGGGGAAGCATCCACTGGATCCACCCTTCTTCTAAGAGGGTGAATCTCTCCCAGCCACCGATCGCCATGAGTTCGATCTCGTCCTTGGTGTAGGCTTCGCCAAGGCCTGGCCCTAGGATCACGGACACCCAGTAGCCCACAAAAACGCCCTTCTTCCCAGCCGCGTCGTATCGCTGCCAGAGAGTGGCCAGCACGTCTTTGGTGTGCTGATTCTGTGTTCGGATGTTAATGATCGATTCCAGGGAGTCACCTTCCTGTGTTCCCCAGCTCCGGAGAATCTCCCTCAGGTCATCCTCTGGTATGCACAGCAGGCCTGATGTCAGGATCTCCTCCAAAAGCTCCGGCCGGATTGCTGGACGCTTGTTCAAGGCTGCTGCAGGACTGGTGAAGATGAGATCGCGAGCCTCTGCTCGCAAATCCTCCATCCGAAACCGGTCTGCGGCAGCGAAGACCTCGCATGCCAGCTCAGGTCTCAGTTCCTGCGATATACACCGCACGCACAAAGAATGCAATCTATCGACCTGATACTTGTCTGCTATCGCGGCCACTTCCACCATTGCCGTGGCAGAGCCCTCAATGCTCCCAGAGTACAAAAAGCGCAGGAAGATCTCAACAGCACTAGCCGAGAAGTCTTGGATGACGACCTCCGCCCTCTGCGACTCGACATAGTTATCTGAGGCGATCATCTTCTCAAAGACGGGAGACCACTGCGCAAGCAGGAAGGACCACACCTTAAACTCAACCTCACCCACCGCCTCATGTTCAACATCCTCGGAAGCGTCATTTGCCTCTTTCACGATGACGGTGAAGTTGCCGCCTTTGCCGAAGCAGGACTTCCATATTTCAGATGCGGCGTGCAGACTCTCCACCTTAATCGTCCCGCTGCGTGCGAATGGGACCAGTTTATATCGGATTGTCCTCTGTGCTTCCGCCATCAAATCCAAGCCACGGACCCGACCGCGTACGACCCGCTGCACTGCCAATGCTCTCCACTGTGGCGCTCTCGCTAAATCCCAGCTACTGGTTTATCATGGTTTGGGCAGGCTACAGGTTCCGAGCTTGAGGGTTCATGCACGCTGAGGAAGGATGTAGAGGATTGACTGCTTCGGAGGAGTTTGGGAGTTAAGTAAAGCCCTGCGGTGACGGGCATGGAGTTTAGGCAAACATAACAAGCAGAGTTGGGGATTTTGGGGCTTCTGGCTGTTATAATCGAACCCTGCAAAACCTAAACCGGTAAATGTGAAACATGAAGCAGCACCGGCAGTCCCCAGATGCTTCCCACATTGCCCGAACATGTCCTGACCCCCCAAACCTCTCTTCTTCAACAGTCGGGTCCCAAAATGTTCAAACTTTCGAAGATAAAGCGAATATATAAGGCCAAAAAGTTTAAAGTTCCCCCGTGCACTATCTAAGAAACAGCGTCTGTTCAGGAGCACAGCCCTTCCGGGAGACTACGTACGCAGTTTATTTCAGGACCCATTGGAAAACGGCCTACCTTCACTTCGCCCTCACGTAGTGATACGGTGAAAATGTCCCACAGCCCTCCCCACCCCGCCTTCCCGTGCAATGGCAAGACTTCGCAACAGCTCGTCGGCCTCTTTTGCATCTGGTTTCGTCATGACCAGGACCCCACAAGGGTCCTTTAATAGAGTCCTTATGGACTTATGGCCCTTAGTAGTGGAATTTGTGGTGTGTCACTTGGGGGGTCTAGGGAGGGTTTCGGGCTTAGGCTTCAGGGTTCACTAGGCTCCGGGATGAGGGTGCAGGTTCCTACTCAGCTCAAAAAACCAATTCTTGTTCCACTCTACGAACAAAAATGCTTAATCGTCCAGAATGAAACTCGCAAAGTAGCTTGGTATTGGAATGTCAAGAGCTCGCTATTGGTCATCGAATGTCCTCACTCAGACTTAGCTTGGAGAAGGATTAGTTCGAAGTTTCCAAGAGTCTCAGACTGGCCCGTACAAACCCTAAAGCCTTCTTTTGAACCCGTACTACGCCCTAAAGCCCTCAACCTTGAAACCTCAACCCCGATCCCGAAACCCTAAGCCTCTTGGCATCGTCATGGCCGGTAACTTGTGAAGGCGTCCAGAGCCCTGACCCGAAGCTCCTATATAGAAAAAATGGCAATAACAATAACCTTAACCCCAAATCACCTACCTTCTGCAAGGGCCTGCATAAGGAAATCATAATGAAGAACCCCACTTTTGTGGGATACTTGGGGTTAAGGAATAGTAGTAAATGCTCAAATTCAGATGAATCCAGCAGCCCAGCACACTGTAAAGCCGCCGACGAACTCAAACCGCCGAGAACAAAAGCCGTCTCAGCCCCCAGAACCCCGAAATCCTGCACCGTAAACCCTTGAGCCTTTAAGGGCGTTACCCAAACGCTAAAAGCGTGAATCGAACCCCGAAACCCTAAAATCGTAAACCCGACACACCCCAGACCCGAAAAGCCTGAACTGCGAACAATTCGTGGCACCACCTCCTCAAGAGAACTGCAGGGCGGGCGGTCGTCACTGCCGGTGACAGCTCCATCGCTGCGATGCGAACCCCCAAAGGTCTGAAGGTAGAAACCTTAAACTTAACCAATCCATTGCAAGCACTGCTTTTCGGGGAGCCAAAACTCAGGGTTCTCACGTGTTCTAGGGTTTAGTTTAATGAGACTGTGGTGTTAGCTTGTATTTGCTGTTTTGGGTGCAGGGTTTTCTTGGTGATGTTCCTAAGACTTTCGATGAAGGCTTCATAGATTTTTTTCAGAATTTTAGCGGGGTATCTATCGGGGCAGAGAGGCCAGATACTGTTGGGGTGCAGGCTACATTAGCATGACGTGCAGGCTCACGAAGCCTTGCAGACCCAAGGCCTACCGAGATCAGCCAAGGGCCAAAGCGAAACTTCACTCCCGACAGTTTCGGAAATAGCACTGATTTGTGCTTAGAAGGTACGTGGCATAGCGGGATCCTGTGTGCCGAACAGCATTCGATTGCAAGCTTTTTCCCAGAACGAAGGTCTGAATCCTGAGGGCAATCTTGAGAAACGGAGTTTCCGAACAACGAACCCACATCAATACAGGCCTCTGCCTAGGGCCTCTGGGAAATCGGCCGCACCCTCAAAGCCTAAAGCCTAAACCCGTTTCGGAAACTCCCATCTGGCCACTGGTAGAGCATCACTGGTGGCTGTCAGATACGCGCTGAACACGGCGTCTTCCTGGCAGGAAATCGAGAAAAGCACAACAATCTCGACGTTCCTCCAGAAAACAAAGGAAAGACCATCCATGTTATGACGAGCACGACTAGCATTAGTACTGGTACTAACTAGTTGTCCTCGTGGTAGTAGTGGTCGTAGCAGGTCGTCGTCACCCCAGCAGTAGCTGCAGCAAGGTGCTACTTCCAACGCTAGCAGTGTGATCTTCGTGGCTTTGCTTCCAGATTGAAGCCTCTTGCTACTGCTGGCTACTGCTCACGAGCCTTCTTCCTCTAATCCTCTTGCATCGTCGAGGCACGAACCCGGAGGTGGCTTAGACCTTCCTTAGACGCCACGGAATGCATGGAGCTCACATCCTTTTTGGGCCGAGCTACGAGGCCGAACGTCTTCCTCGTGCGGGCGCCATGCAACGTGCAGGATGGAGTACCGTGGTTCGACACAGCAGAGTGTTTTGCTTAAAGCATTCTCTGGGCCTTGTGGGGTTTAGGGATCTGCCCTACGAATTAAACCCTAGCTGCAGGAATCATGGTAGCCTTCGTAGAGCTTGGAAGGCTTGTGCTTGTGTTCATGCAGACGCTAGCTACCCCGGCCAAACGCCCCCAAATAAGGCCTCATTAGTAAAGCCTCCTTCCGGTGCGAGCATAATTAAAAGCCAGGGCTGGGAGCCACTGCTGTCTTATACCCGAAACAATAAGGCCAAATTACTTAATGACTGGTTAATTAAATGCATAATCAGTTAATCGAAGAATTACTTAAGATTAAGCACTATTTGTACGGACTTGGCTAGACTACAAAATCGACCGAAAAAAGGATCTTATTGTGCAGGAGGAGTGAATACGGGCGGGGGATAGTTAGCTTTTAGCATCAGCCTGAATTTCTAAACCCCGCCCCACCGTGTCTGTTGACTAGTATCAACTAAGGCTCAAGGATTTGGAGGGTGTAGCATTTAGGGGCTTCTAGCTAGCACTGAAGAGGTTGTAAACATCTACGTGGAAGGATAATATGGTGCCAGGACCAGAACTTCCTCCACCACCGGCGCCATATGGTATAGTAGCCGAAGGAAATTAAGAAATGCGATTTTCTGCATGGAAAGCCCATGCAAGCCCGCCGCAACATGAGCGTGAAGGAGGTGTGTACAGGGCTGTCTCGGTGCAGTCGCGGCAAAGCATCCAAGCCTTTGGAATCCCTCCACTGCTTTGCCTTTGAGGCAGCTGAAGTAAGCCGCTTACAACTAAATCGACGAGAGGCGGCTGGGTACCCTAGGATTGTATAAACCCTGGAAGGTTAAAGGTTACCTACTCAGCTACTAAGTACTTCCTTTCAATGCACAATGCCACTCCTTCTCATACAGTGAAACCTAACTGGGGGTTTGTGGAAACAAAAGTGAAGTTCCTGAAAGACTTCTATCCCTCCAACGAATGCACCAGATCAACGTAGGTCTGAGAGTACGAGGCTGGCGCTGGAGAAGTCTGGGCTGTGGGTGTGCACGATTCTGGACTAGACCTGAGAGAAACCTATAGGATTAAAAAGGATGCCCTTTTTGGTTTAAGGGGGGTTACAAGGGAACCTAAACCCTGAACAAAGGGCATAACGGCCTGCTCTGGGTCCTAGTGGATGTAAGACTGTATGGTCTCGCGTTTCCGACGGGCTGTCTGGCAAGGGCCTGCTTCATCACGGCAAGATGGCAGTGAGCCCATTGACTGTACCTGCTATGCAATCCTCAAGCCCATGCTGAGCCGCCAGTAGCATGATGGAAAGTTGACGGAGATATATAAATTAAATACGGTTGTCCTACCACGACTGGGAAGAACAAGGTCCGCAAGGGTCGTCCGCACCATCATCGTCTTCACTATGATCATCACGATCGCCAACATTCTGACCTTTGACATCCCCAAGCAAGAATAGGCCGCTTAAGTGGAGCAGGAAACCGAGCATGCTAGGTCCTATGACTTAGTTTCAGGCGTAGGCAGCATGTACCAGCTTGGGGTTGAGGTCTGCGGAAAGCCATGTCCAAAGCACGGTGATAAGTTAGGTACTGCCCCCTTACAGCAAGAGTCTATAGTAGGGCTACTATTAAGGTCCTAGTATATCTATATTATGACCATTATTCAACTATTCCTGAGTGGGGGCCGTACCCAAGTGATAAGTTGAGAAGTTTGGGCCAACCGAAGTGGGCATGACTGGTCAGGTTCTCATTGTGTGTGTAGCCCCTGTGCCTGCGAAAGCGTTCCAAACGTTTCGGTTTTGAAATGGAAGCAGCTTTCATGAAGCTTGGTTTCGCTACGTCCCCTAAACCCTGAACCAGCTGTGCCATGCGGGGCTTGAGGAGCGAATATAGATTGAATCGAAGCGGCAGCTGTTTCCACTCAGCCACTCTGCCCAAAGCCCGACGATGGGCAACTCATGGGCATCCAGAACTGCATGTGCTGGTCCCTTCTGTCTTTTCGGCAATAAGGGTCCGTGTAGTACAACCTGCAACCATAAAGACTTCCGCCTCTTCTGTGGCAGCAAATAGCCATCAACCCTTGAAATGATGGGACAGACAAGTAGATTTGTTGCTTCAGCAGTCTAGCATCTACGGAAAAGCATGGAAAAGCCATAAAGCCATGTGGCTTTTGGGTGTTAGGGAAGTATAGGGATCCTGCTGCGTTGTTGTGGGAGCTCCCCGCAGCAGCTCCCACATAGGTGTAAACCACCCAAGAATACCAGGGGTTCTCAATTGACTATGCCACAAA